AGCAACAACCTTGGATCGAGTATAAGAAAGGAGAGAGGAGTGTGTTAGCTTTTTATCAGTTATTTTGTCAAGTAGTACGTAAAGGAGAGGAGAGACTCCAAAGAAAAACTCATTGTATTTGCAGCTTTATCTATAAAACTTGGGATTTCCCTTTATCTTTGCCTTCTTTTACAAGTTTGATACATCTAAACTGTATCAAGTACCTATTGACGCATAGAAGATACAACTGTGTTGGTTAGCTTTACATCATTTTCCTCACCAAACTGACAAGAGACTGAAAACTTACTTTCCACGCTGGGATGACTCCACAAACGTAGCTTCCTCATCTTCTTCCGAGACAAGAACAGACTGCCACAAGGTCAGTTACAAATCAAACATGTCCGACACTTCTAAAAAAAGTTATGTTTTTACTTACAGTTCTGCCACTACTAACAAAAGCTTTGACAAAGACATCGTTAGAGAGCACATCCAGTTTCTTTTGCTCTTCACCCTATTACCAAAACTGTGAATCTCAGGCACCAAAAGAAAAGAAAACAAGAAGAAAGCTTTAAATTGGACAAAAGACATAAACTTGCCTGGATATTTGTCTCCCCTGCAAGTCCAATAAGCTTGGCCAAACCAGCCTGCACGCCAGAAAAAAAGTAACGATTTTGACTTCAAGGGTCAGCCTAACCCCTAAAAACTAAAGAGGTTTCCAGAGCATCAAAAACGAACTAAAAGCTATCGAAGGCCAAATTTTCACCTTGTTGACGGCACTGCAGACGAATTTGCATCCCAAGACGATGTTACTGAGCAAAATCGTGAAATCCCCACGAGAATCTGGGTACTTTGATTGCTCATTCAGCACGAATCTCGTGATGGTCATCAAATCCGTACGGTAAGCATCTGCTTCGTGATCCATCTTTGTTCCTCTTTCTCCCTGTTATCAAGCTTCTACGCCACCAGAATGCCTCTTTAATCGCCCTATATATTAATTCGAGATCATTACAACATGTCATTACCCAGAAGCATACATAGAATCCTTAAAAGAAAAAAAATCATAAAACTTACTTTTACTATTTTTAATAATTTATGGTTGTTTTACAAAATTTAGAATATAATATATAAGAAAAATTAAATTAGTTTTATTATATATCTAATGTAATTGTTTAATTTATTTTAATAATATAAAATTAAAAAAAAAAGTCATAAAAATATGTATTATTCATAATCATTAATTATATATATATATATATATATATATATATATGTTAGTCTTTCTTTTTTCATCAACGGCTAATCTATTACTCAAGCTTGAGGTGGTCTGAGAATCTAGACTGGAATAGAACCAACATACAAAAGTTCTCGAGAGAAAGATTCACCAATCTTAGCTAAAAAATGAGAAACCCCGTTATGAGTTCTAGGAACATAAAAGATCTTGAAATCTGGGAAGCAGATCCGCAGCGTCAAGAGTTTTTCCAATTCTGTTGAGAAGCTTGGCCATTCATGGGGTTTTCTGAGCATCACAATCATATCCTTGCAGTCAGTCCTAAAGCTCTGACATGGCGAATACTGAAGCATATTTTTCATTGCCCACCGCAATCCTTCTAACTTTGAGTGCAAAGCTGATTCCACTATACTAAAATTACACAATCTCATTAACTAACTATTTTCCAAACTATCATTCCAAACCCAACCACATCCACTGAACTGAGCTGTAGAAGTCCAAAAACCATCCACCATACATATATTTCCTAGATTTATGGCATGATTTTTAACATCTATGTTTCCTTAAGGTTGCGATATAATTTGTTCTTTGGCTTAGAATCAAGCTTGATATTCACAGTCTGCATAACGGGCTAACTCCAATGGATGTCTATCAATTCTCTTAAATAGTTTATCATTCCGAGCTTTTTAAATATCCAAATTATCTAGGGATAGAGATCTCTGTCCAATTTTGACTCCATTATATCATTTTCCTCAAGAATAGATAGTCCATATTCACGTAAATGTTCTTAATTGATAATTATATTAGGTAATTTTGCATCTTTTATTTAAGAAAGGAAAACATATTATTTTGTACGCTTTTATCTTTTTAATTATTAGTTTAATAAAAGGTATAGTATATAATTATATGGAAAAACCATGCAGAGATGTTAAAAACCATGCCATAAATCTAGGTAATATATGTATGGTGGATGGTTTTTGGACTTCTACAGCTCAGTTCAGTGGATGTGGGTGGGTTTGGAATGATAGTTTGGAAAATAGTCAGTTAATGAGATTACGTAATTTTAGTAGAGTGGAATCGGTTTGCACTCAAAGTTAGAAGCACTGTGGTGGGCAATGAAAAATATGCTTTAGTATTCGCCATGTCAGAGCTTTGGGACTGACTGCAAGGAGATGATTGCGATACTCAGAAAACCCCATGAATGGTCAAGCTTCTCAACGGAATTGGAAAAACTCTTGCCGCTGCGGAACTGCTTCCCAGATTTCAAGATCTTTTATGTCCTAGGACTCATAACGGGGTTTCTGATTTTTTAGCTAAGACTGGTGAATCCTTCTGTCGAGAACTTTTGTATGTTGGTTCTATTTCGGTCTAGATTCTCAGACCACCTCAAGCTTGAGTAATAGATCAGTCGTTGATGAAAAAGAAAGACTAACATATATATATATGTAATTAATGATTATGAATAATACACATTTTTGTGGCTTTTTTCTTAATTTTACATTATTAAAATAAATTAAACAATCACATTAGATATTAATAAAACTAATTTAATTTTTCTTATATATTATATTCTAAATTTTGTAAAACGATCATAAATTACTAAAAATAATAAAAGTCCCACATTAAAAGTTTTATGATTAATGGTTTTAATATTGTGACAAAAAAAATATATAAATGTTAATAAAAACATATGAATCAAAATGTCAATAATGAATAATTATATAAAAATATAATAGTATCTCTAAATTTTAATTATATACATATAAAGTAAATAAAATGATTTTTTTTATTTATTTACCAAAACAATGACTGTAAATTAATAAAAGGTACTCTAATATATATACTTTTATGTATACAAATTAATTTTTAAGTATGTGATATCTACTATGTTATTTAATCTTGACAGTTTTGGAAATACTCTTTTTAAATAGACATAATTTTTAATATATGAAATATTATATATAAATATATATAATTTTATTTCGTTTAAATATTTTAGTCTTTATATTTATTCCTCAAAAACTTTTAATGAAATCATCATAATTTCAATCACTTTCTTTTGAGTTTGTTCGAAGAAAGATAGATTTGATCACTTGTCTAATATTTTTTTCCATAATATCATATCTAGTTATTATAATTATAAGAATGAGAGATTTGAACTATTTATTATAAGCCTTCTGGTTTTTTATTTAATAAATCAAACAGTTTTTAGGTTATTGGGATGATTTCAAATATTAGTTACAATCCAATCCGAATTGAATAGAGAAAAAATCAAATCGAATCTAACCCAATAGTTAATAAAACCTTAATAGAATTTATGAGCATAGTACTAAAAACTGAAAATACGAGTCAATCAAAGTAAAACCGACAAAACCTCAAACATTCAAATTTATGATAACTTAAAATAGCAAAATTTGTTTCGTTATTTTACAATAAATATTATAATATTACAAAATATTAAATTATTTAATAAATAAATATTAGTATAAAAAGTTGACTCCGTGCATGTACGTAGATTATTTTTCTGAAACTTTTTTTTTTTTTTTTTTGAAACACCACACGCAGATTATCATCTTGATATTATAATCTGTAATCTTTTTAAAACCTTATTTTGTGTGTTGCACATTTCCAGAAAGATGATGATGGTGAGATAAAGACGCGACCGTTGATAAATCGAATGAACAAGTGACATCGGGTTGACACGCGACAGTGACAGGTTTCGTCGTCATTTNTTTTTTTTTTTTTTTTTGAAACACCACACGCAGATTATCATCTTGATATTATAATCTGTAATCTTTTTAAAACCTTATTTTGTGTGTTGCACATTTCCAGAAAGATGATGATGGTGAGATAAAGACGCGACCGTTGATAAATCGAATGAACAAGTGACATCGGGTTGACACGCGACAGTGACAGGTTTCGTCGTCATTTTTTGGGGGATAACGATTAGTAACGAACCAATTTCGTCCTCCTTTGTTTTTTATGCAATCGCCTGATCGTCTCACCGTCACGATAAGAATTATAGATTCGGTTATTCTTATTCATTTAAAAAAGAAAATATATTTTTACTTGGGTGTATGATAAAGTTGACCACCATTCTCCGAATTCTTAAGTCTGGTTTCTAAAAATTAGCATATTTCAAAATATTTTGTAAGATACGATAAAATATACTTCATTATTACATAACATCTTTAAACAATTGAGAAATTATTTGTTATAGTTTGATTAGTCTACTTTTTTATTATTAATTCAATTTCAAAAAGAAACCCATAAATCAACTCATATCATTTCTAAAAAAAAAAATGAACAAAAATATATTCCAAAATTTACTACAAATTTATTGAAAAACATATCTAATAACACTTAACTTGAAACACCTTATTAAAAAGAATCGGTTGAATATTTTACATCTTTTGAACATTCATTAATAGTCTATTTAGAAACTACATAAAGTATATTTTTAACAGTTAGTTAATAAAACTAATATACTAGTTTTGTTTTTATACTATAAATCAGATGTAAACATAGTTTTATTTTTCTAAACAAGTTATATGATAAGACATAATTTGATAAAAAATTATAATAACTATTAGTGCATCACCGAGCGAATTCATAAATTATTAAATTTTTTTTTTTTGACAATGAAAGGCTGATCTTTTACTCAAGCTTGAGGTGGTCTGGGGAGCCAGACCGGAATAGAACAACCAATATACATAAAATCCCAATAAAAGGATCGGGCAGTCTTAGCTAAATGATCTGGCACAGTATTTAGAGCTCGAGGTACATAAGAAATCTGAAAATCTGGGAAACAAATCCGTAATGTCGAGATCCTCTCCAGTTCCGTCGAAAAGCTTGGCCATCCGTGAGGGTCTTTGAGCATTGCTACGAAATCCTTACAATCCGTCCCAAAGCTCTCACATGGCGAATGTTGAAGCATGTTCTCCATTGCCCACCGCAGCGCCTCCAACTCAGAATGCAAAGCCGACTCCACTCTGCTCACCTTACGCATCCCCATCAGATGACTATTTCCCAAGCTATCCTTCCACTCCCATCCACAACCAGAAAATTGATCCGTAGAGGTCCAAGAACCATCTATCATGCTTGCGTAGGTTTATGACCTGCCGCTCAGTGTCTACGTCCTCTTGTGTAATAATATCCTGCTCATTAGCCTGGAACTAGGTAAGACACTCGCTCTCTGCATATCGGGCCAATTCTAGAGGATCCCTATCAATACCTCTAAACAGCTTGTCATTCCGAGCCTTCCAAATGTACCATATCAACCAAGGAAAAGGATCTCTATCTAGTTCTGGTCCACAAATACTCTTCTTCCGCCATTTGATGATTAAAATCATTTATAAATTATTTATACGAGTTTAAAATCATTTCTGATGATTACTATGTAACTTGTAAGAGTTTAAAGTCATTTATACTACTCCATTTATAATGGTTTATAAAACGTATATGATAGTTTAGTTTATATAAATATTTTATAAATCATTTATAAGGTTTAAAATCATTAATAATGAATATTGTATCTTTAATAAGATTTTTTTTTTGTGAGAAAGAGAATATCTTTAATAAAAGTTTTAAAAAAAAATTACAAAGATACATAAAAATGTTATCAATATTTATAGGGGGATTTGCCAAATATGACTCAAAACTTGATTTTAAATGCACTATACTCTAAATTTAAT